GAAAACGATCGTAAAAGAACAATCCTTTGAAGCTGTCACGCTGAGAGACGATTTAAGCGCAGTCGGCAGGGTCGGTGAAGCGCTTTGGAAAATTTTATTGCGCGCTTTAATTAATCTCTCGGCACGCTGGAAGGACACACCGGGGGGAAATGCGTTTGACGTTCAATTGTACGGCGAAATGACAGAGAGCGCTGCCGGTATAATGTTCACGCTTTGTTCATGATATTAATTACAAACAATCGTGCTCATTACGTGCGCAAACGAGCTCGACATGATTAGAGTATTCGAAAGGATCGTCGAGCCGGTTCGGAGCTCGTTCAGAGGCTGTTCAGCAGCCGGGCCGTTTGTATTAACGCGGCCGTCAAATGTTTTGTGAGCCGGTTGCCCCTTTCGCGGAGCGGAATCGCGAGAGTTTTTCTCGCGGCGGGTTTCGCGGCAGGCGATAATGTGTGCAAATTGTTTGCGCGATTTCACCGTTTAATCGGCAAGGACTCAAAGGGTTGCCAAGCCCCGCTTCATATACACGGTTTTATTTGCCGTTGGCCGGCCGGTTATTGGCCCGTTCGGCTCAACACTCGTTTCTATAAATCAACAGGCAATTAATTTCAGCGCCGAGCCGCGCCGAGCCCCGCTGAGCCGAGCTGAGCGCGTGTTCCGCGTTTATGCGCGGCGGCGAGACCGTCTGCGACACGGTGCATTATAATTAAACTTTATGATTAGAGTTAATAATTCGAACACGTGACTCCGGCTATCCTCCGCGAGACGTGTACAGTTTTAATGGCGCTGCCAGGCTGAAGCAACTGCGCCGGCCGACACGACGCAGAGTTTCTAAATCAAAACTGCCCTGCTATAAACGAATACAGAGCCTCGGTCTGGTCAGGCTGTAAGCACAACGAGTCGAAAATTTCTTCGTCGACGACGGCTGCACCGGATCGTTAACGCGAATCGAATCATTTTTACGATTTCAGTGCATTGGAAATTATTTTCGTTGCATTTCATTTCATCGAAACGAGCTTTAAAATACTTGAGATTGTTTTTACGATATTCCGTCGATAGCGTGGAGATGGACGCTGCCAATTTTCAGCGTTCTCAATTTTTTACAACTAAGATTTTGCAGCTAATATTTTACGACCGATGTTTCACGATTACTTCGTTTTTACTGACTTGGCCCGCAAAGGCCCCAAATACTGCGGTATTTTATAAAAGTAATAAAATCAAAAACATTTTATAGTGTGTAATCATCTAAAAATGAATCTCATAATTTTTGATATGTTTAATATTGATAATTTATTGTATACAATCATTTTTACGATTTCAGTGCACTGGAAATTATCTACGTTGCATTTAATTTCATGGAAACGAGCTTTAAAATACTTGAGATTGTTTTTACGATATTCCGTCGATAGCGTGGAGATGGACGCTGCCAATTTTCAGCGTTCTCAATTTTTTACAACTAAGATTTTGCAGCTAATATTTTACGACCGATGTTTCACGATTACTTCGTTTTTACTGACTTGGCCCGCAAAGGCCCCAAATACTGCGGTATTTTATAAAAGTAATAAAATCAAAAACATTTTATAGTGTGTAATCATCTAAAAATGAATCTCATAATTTTTGATATGTTTAATATTGATAATTTATTGTATACAATCATTTTTACGATTTCAGTGCACTGGAAATTATCTACGTTGCATTTAATTTCATGGAAACGAGCTTTAAAATACTTGAGATTGTTTTTACGATATTCCGTCGATAGCGTGGAAATGGACGCTGCCAATTTTCAGCGTTCTCAATTTTTTACAACTAAGATTTCGCAGCTAATATTTTACGACCGATGTTTCACGATTACTTTGTTTTTGCTGATTTGGCCCGCGAAGGCCACATTACTGCAATGGCCCCAAATACTGCGGTATTTTATAAATGTAATAAAATCCAACATTTTATAGTGTGTAATCTTCTAAAAATGAATCTCATAATTTTTGATACGTTTAATATTGATAATTTATTGTATACAAGTAACTGCAATCGCAGTTTTTATTCATTTATTGACTTTTGATATTCGGAAGCTTATGAAAACGTCGAGTCTTGAAATGAAATTCTCGTAATAACAGCTTTGAACGCTGATTCGAAAGGCATTTATATTTTGGTAATTAATAATAAAGTATTCGTTTTAGCGTTACCTTTAGATAAAGTAATCATTATTTTGATAAAAAATCGACGTACACTGTTACTATCATCTATCCTCAAATATTATTTACTAACACAGTATTTGGCGCACAGATTTTTGCTATGTGTGTACATTACTGCGGTGCTTTATTGAACTGCGTATCTTAACCTATACAGTGCAGTTGTCGACGAGCCGGCGCGAACACGCTTGATATTACCTGTACCTAATTTGTAAAGTGCTATAGAGAAAATATCTTGATCCTAGGAATCGTAGCTGTGTCTGTATTTAAAAGAAAATGGGTTATGTCAACCTTGACATGCAGTAATCGGAACGTCCGCAGTATTTGGCTCGAAGTAATAGATACATAACCGCAATAATATATGCAGAAGAATGGTTTCCTTGCACTCCATTTTTTAATGAAATTTTGTGTTTCCAGAGGTGCAATATTTTGAGTGAAGTAAATATGCAAATTAAATAATAATAGGTTTCGCTCAGGTTGTCAATTTATTGGCGTAAAAGGTCGTATTTTCTCTGTCAAAGTTCGCCTTCATTGAGAAACCGCAGTAATACCTACACTTACCCTATTCGGTTCCTACAGTTTAAGTTCGCCTTCATTGAGAAACCGCAGTAATACCTACACTTACCCTATTCGGTTCCTACAGTTTTAAAACTAAGCAACTTTGTAGCCTTTTTTTTAAACGAACGCTTAGTTGAATTTTTATGTACAGATTATCTTTTAGATACACTCCGGCTCGTAAGAGATCAATATACTCGAACTAATGGCGGCTGATCTAAGCGCGGTAGAATGTAGGAGGAACACGAAGTTACATCTATATTTGGAAAGTTTTCTACTATCGCGTCCATTAGAGTCATTTACATCTGATAACGTGGAAAACATGATACTCCGAGGAGGGAGCAATTTAAGTTTCTGCATTCATTATTGATATGTACCTGTTTGAATTAAGGTGGAGATATTTGACAGTTCCGCGGACCTAAATATCTATTTTTATTCGATCTCGATTATATCCTTCAATATACTACTTCACGAGACACAAATTGTATATCAAAAATGTCAGAATTTGTGTTTTTTTAAAGACGTCGCAAGAGTAGAATAGATAGAATGAAGTTGATTTTCAACTTCAGGTAATGTTATTTCACCGTGAAAATACTTCCTCTGTCACTTTTGAATGAAATGGCACAGTTCGATAAGAAAAATTGTCTTTTACCTTAAATCAACATCAGTATGAATTTCAAAGTGGTTGGTAGTAGTAAGATGAGTATTTCCGATAGAATGACTCTAAAGTAGTAACTAATTAAAGAAGTAATCAAGTGAGCTTGTAAATCAAAACTTGCACTATCGAACAATTAGAAACAATCGTTAACCCTTTACCGCACATTGAGAACATCTAATATAATAACTTGTTGAGCATGAATATTATTGGCTTCTTTGAAGTCGGAACAAAATTCTGTTCTCGTGTCATCAAACATTTAAGCTATCAAGCATATCTGGACACACAATAAATATTTTCTTTTTCTTTTGACACATAACGACGATCGAAAAAGTTCTAATCGTTGCAGCTGTGAAGCAAATGGTAAGATAAGAAGTGAATACAGAAAATTAGAAATTTAGGAATTACAAGATCAAATGGTCTGAGTTGTATCAGCTAGATATAATCATTATGCATAAGATAATCATTATGCATTTATTATATTCGTTTATATTAGTAAAATAATGAAAGTACGCATTTGCGTGTATTAGTAAAATCTAATACAATTTTTGATTTATTGTTATCAATAAAAATGTTCTAGCTCGTACAAGTAATTTTTCATTTTTAATATCCTGCTCGATAAAACAATTATAAAACATTTTATGAAAATGATGGTTTACATAAAACAAAAAAAAATGTACGTAACTTTATAACGAATAAAATTTCAAACTAGACCAGACGATTTCTGAATAAAAATTATTATTATCATGAGCTAATAGTGAAAACGAAATAAAAATTAGCACTTTTGCTCGTATAATTTAAGTAGAACAAAACGACTACATATATCGTTTTTATCAATTATTCGGTCTGAATACGCTTCATAAATCTCCAAGTTGATAGAAAAAGATTTATTGGAAAATCTCGGTCGCATTATTTCGTTGTAATCAAATTAAAGGTATATTAACAAACCGACCGTCTTCTCGCCCATGTGTGGCTGACAAAATGATTTGATCAGATCTAAAAAGTTATTTTCACGCTGATGCGCTATAATTTCCTAGTTCCATAAAGAAGAATTTTAATCGAATTAAATGAAACACCTGAATGTTATGCAATTTTTGGCGGTCAAAATGTAAATCAATTTTTCGCGGTTGAATATCCGAGACCCTCGAACAACTGGAACAGCGAAACAGCTTTTAAATCGTCCGTAGCCGCCCTCCTCCCTAATTCCGAAGAATGACTTCCGTTTGACGACTCCAGTTCGATACCCTCGAATGGACCAGCAGCACCATAGCAAATAGAATTAATGACCCAGGAAACCGACATCGCTTCCCCACGAAACCCAAGCACCTCCGCCACGACAGACACGGATATATCTATCTTCGGGCCCGAAGTTCCGAACGGCGGGGATGTTAAAATCGTCTTGTCGACTTCGAACAGGAGCTGCGAACCGTATCAGTTCGGCGGTTGTTTTCACTCCAGAGAAAACGCGTTCTCCCGCGTCGCGCCGCGCCGTACCGTGGCGAAGAGCGTAAAGGCCTCTCTCAGACCAGGGGGGTATCGCCGAACGAATGACTGATCGCCGAAGTTTGCCTTAAAGTAATCTATGAGAGACTGTCTGTCGTTACCTTGTGGCGAGATCCCGATGCACGAAGTCCATTTCCTCGAGGTGTTTCATGCCGGATGCTATTTGCGTGGCCATGTAAACCAGCGTGCCGAAACTGCAACACGAAGAACGGGGGGGGTGGTTCCATCTTGAAGTTTGCTCCTCGAGAAACTCTGCCGCGGCATGTCTGTGTGGGCACGCGGCCCCGCGTGTCCGTATCGCGTTATGTACACGACCGGTCGTTTGCATCGGCTCGCAATACCGCAAATGACGACGCTTTAAAGTACAGTCGGACGCACGTCGACCGACCATTTGCATTAACAACAAAAGCCCGACGGAGATCGATCGTTCCGCCGCGCGCGGGGTCTCTCCCTTCACCATAGAAGTAAACTTCGACCGGGGCGCTTTCTCTCTCCTACTTCTCCCTTTCGACCCGCTCTCCGGTTTTTTCCCCCCACTGCCTCCATTCGAAACGATCGCCAATGGGCCCTTTTTCGGCTAGAATCGCTCGCGACACCATTATTCCCGGGCATCGTTGGCACGGGACAAATCACCGTTTACAGGGGGAGTGGGGGGGGGGGGGTGCGTATGTATACGTACGTGCTTTCAGTTCTGTGAAACAGGGGCGCGCGTTCTTTTTAAATGCTGCCTGGATTAATTCGATCTTTCTGTTCGAAGTACGGTAAATTCTCTCCGATTGTTCCTTAGCTTGTAAACAAAAATGGACGATTTGGTTTTTAGAGTTTTTATAGTTGTTGACGATCGGCGGGTATAAAAATGAGCCGCGAGGCGATTATTTAATCGTATCCCCTCTTCGCAAATTGTCCGTTTTTGTTTACAAGCTGGGGGACCATTGGAGAGAATTTATGCAAATGCAGGGACAGAAAATCCATTTTAACACTTCGACGGCCGGAGTTAGGTATACGTGACTTTGAATTGTAAAAATAGATCCAGTGTAGCTTTTTGAAGAATGCAATTATAATGTTAACCGAATTTATTCTGTTTATATTATTATTGAGGTGTATCATAATATTGTACTTTTCGAAAAATGATTTATAATTATACTATTAATACTTTGACCGTCGCGATACTCACATATGGGTAACAGAATTATGTCAAATGAAATTTTCGAAAATTAATTTCTTCGCCAGTCAATTATAATTTCTTAATTTTATTAAAATTAAGAGGTAAGAATGTTGGAAAAGTAATGTATGTCGCATAACTTTGCTGAAGCAAATTTTTATGCTTCACTGAATAAAATACTTCAATTTTATGAAACTTTCGAGATGTTTGCCGCGGCCGTTGAAGTATTAAAATTAACGTAAATGGTATTTATTTAACATCACTGCTAAGGATCTATTTTTATGCAAACGTGCAAAATATCACTATAAACACAAAGAAACGAAATAGAATTGAATTTCGCTGGTCTTAACGATTTCATTTGAAAAGAATGACTTTTTATTGAAATTTAGTGGGGCAAAATCATAGCACGTTTAACTAAAAATGATGTATAGCCAAATTATGTAAAACCAAAAAAAAGGAAAAAGAAATAGCATAAACCAATAGTCGAATTGTTTGAAAGTTTGAATCGTATCATCGGTTTGAGTCAAACGTGCCGATTCGAATTTGAATGAGTTTGAACTATTTCAAAATTCCCTAGCGACGATAATAACCTCGACGATCGCGAACGTTGATGCAACAATGAAGACAGCCGTCCGAATAACGGGACGCGGACTGGACTCTCTTTCGGGTAACATTTTCGTAAACGGATTACGCGGTGGAACAGATTTATTTGGCCGCGGGATAGCCACGTCAACGGAACCTGCGTAAATATTGTTGAACGCTGGTGTTCATGAAGAGCGCCGATATATTTCATTCGGATCCAGCGAAATTCCCTTTCTCTCTCTCCCTCTCTCGCTTCCTCTATCGCTTCCTCTCTCTCCCTCTCTCGCTTCCTCTCTCTCTCTCTCTCTCGCTTCCTATCTCTCTCCCTCTCTCGCTTCCTCTCTCTCCCTCTCTCTATCGCTTCCTCTCTCTCTCTCTCCTTCTCTCGCTTTCTCCCTCTCTCTCCCTTCCTCTCTCTCTCTCTCCCTCTCTCGCTTCCTCTCTCGCTTCCTCACTCTCTCTCGCTTCCTCTCTCTCTCTCACTCTCTCGCTTTCTCCCTCTCTCGCTTCCTCTCTCTCTCTCTCTCGCCCTCTCTCGCTTCCTCTCTCTCTCTCTCTCGCCCTCTCTCGCTTTCTCTCTCGCTTCCTCACTCTCTCTCCCTCTCTCGCTTCCTCACTCTCTCTCCCTCTCTCGCTTCCTCTCTATCTCCCTCTCTCGCTCCTACCTTCTCTCTCTCTCTCTCACTCTCTCTCCCTCGACTCTTTTGCCCCTCGCCCAACAGGGTACGAAAAAACACACACACCGGGACGGTAGGTTACATTGTTTTCTTTAGAAGAATATTGGCCAGCGATTTTTGCCGCGACAGGAATTCCGCGGGCAACACGAAATTTCAATTAGTGTGCGTTTATGTAACAGCAGGGAGTAATGTTTCCGGCGGACGAAACCCCGCTGGAAAATTGATCGTTGTCGACGGGTGATTTTCGGCGTCGTTGACGGAGCCCGGCCTCGATAAAAACCGATCGACGGAAATATGGATCGGAAAACGCTTTAGGAATCTCGAGACCGCGTTCCCCAAAGCGCCAACGCCACGTGACCGCCCGACACACGGCACAACGATCCTGCTACACACCCGAGAACCGGGAACTGTTTCGTTTGTGTTGGCGCTTTAATTAACAGAATCAAGTAACTTGAACTCGACGCCAGAACGGGAATCTAATTCTGTCTGTTGCAGAATTGATTTGTTTGATGCCTGCCGGCTACGACCGGATCGATCCGTTATGAAACGATACGGTTTTTTTTCTGATAATTCCGCACAAACGCTGGTCTTCATCGTTAGCGAGCATAATGATACACAATTTTTGCATCTTCCTACGGGTATAAAATAATTATTTCCATAAACGAACTTGTATGTGGACCAAGCGAACTTCGTAATTAACGCATTTCAAAATTCACATGTTTCCCCGCTGATTTTGATGTGATGGTTGAACAATGTTACAGAAATTACTTGGAATGATGAAACGAAAGAAAAGACTCGTTTTTTTACGCCTTTGTCTAAGCCTGAGACGAACATTTAGAAAATGTGTTTTCGGTTAGAAATGTTTTTAAAACCGAAACTTTTGATTGAGTTTTTATCCGAATTTAAAAAATGAAATCGTTTGACGCAAAGTCAAGTTACAAGCGATCAGAGATTATGAAACCTGCAAATTTCTCGCACTTATTGGTCGAAAGTGTCGAACATCGGAACAAAACTGCGAATTTTGCGATATTTAATTGTTTACAGCTCATACGGAAGTTAACCGATTTCGGTGAAATTTCTGACATGCATATAACTTACCGGGATCTACAAAACACATTTTTTAAATTTTCGTTATAGGCTCAGCTAAAAAACGAGAGTTTTTTAATTTCACACATTTTGTCATTCTAAGCAACAGCAAAACTTTTAAAAAGCATTCTAATTATGGTCGCTCTATCGCCTAAAAGAAATTCGAGCCATTTAGTCTAGTTCTAAAAAAGTTATTGCGTTTTGAAAAGCGTCCGAATCTTAACCCTTTGCACTCGAAGCAACTTTAACTCGAAATCTAAAATAGTTTCTTCGTTCTATAGTATTTTCATTTCATACAACTTACCGCATTTTATGCATACGACTCAAGCAACAATTACGCTTCATAATGTTTTTTTTAAATATAAACAACTTCGATAATGCTAAAATTATTTTTAAACGTGATATAACAATTTTTGATGGCGCCTCAGGGTCGCCACTCGAGTGCAAAGGGTTAACAAGAGTCACTGTATGTCATTCAGGCCACCTGTACTTTCAACAATTTTCACGTTGTAACTTTCCGTGAGCATGTTTGGCAACAAGTGGTAGAGTGGAAGGCATTTTAAATAGTGCGAAATTTGTTTAACCCTAGAAAGATAACCATATGACAACGTACGTAAAAGATAACCATACGCTTCAGAGGCGCATGCTTTTCTAAGGCGTCAATTTTATACTAACAATGGATATTTATTTAAGTTAATCTAGTCATTTTAAAGGTTTGGCATTATTGTAAAAATAAAATGCATTTATATTATATTTTTTTATATTTTAAGTAATTTTAAACTTAAATCACTAGACCTCTATGAAAAATTAACAAAAATCAACAGTCTTCGCAGGCGCCTCTGCGACGTAAGTTATCTTTCTCGGGTTAAGTGCGACAGTCGTTTTTTTTTCTGGAATCGATAGAAAATTAAGGTGGTAAGTGTATCTTATTGTTGTCTTATGTCTTAAATAGTGCGAAATTTGTTTAAGTGCGACAGTCGTTTTTTTTTTGGTATCGATAGAAAATTAAGGTGGTAAGTGTATCTTATTGTTGTCTTATGTCTTAAATAGTGCGAAATTTGTTTAAGTGCGACAGTCGTTTTTTTTTTGGTATCGATAGAAAATTAAGGTGGTAAGTGTATCTTATTGTTGTCTTATGTTTATTTTGCCTATTATATCGCGTTATACTCATTTATTTTTGGAATTTGTGAAAAAGGAGACAATGTCAAAAACAAAATATTTACATGAATGTGAAGAAGCTGTAACTAGAATTTCGAAACAGAGAGGTGAATCGAACAGAAGCATCATGAAGCAAATTAATCATTCCGAATGTGTGGTACGAAATTTTCTGACACTTAAAGACAACTGTGGAAGAAAACGTGCTATAAAAAGCAATTTAAAAATAACAAAATAGGAAAAGAAGCAAATCATAAGTGAAACGATAAAAAAGCCCCCAGTTAAATGAAAGAAAAATTATAGCAAAACTTCAATTTGCAATAAATAAGAGACGCGTTTCACAACGCGCGAAATGGTATTTTTAAGAAACCTCGAAAAAAGCCACTGTTGAAAGCTCATCATAAAGCTGTATGTATCTTAGATGGTCTCGATAAATATAGTTCGCATAGTTCGTAAATAACTGCTATGTTGATTTTATTTGAATTTTGAATCTCAAAATTATGACATATTATATATATTAATTGAATATAATATTAATATATTAATTGATATATATTAATTATATTAATATAACAATATTAACAATACTATATATTATATATATTAACAATATTATATGTATTAATTGAATTTTAAATTACAAAATCCTATTATTTTGAAATGCGTTTATACGAATCTAGTGCACCAGAAATTATTTCACTTATAGAAAGCTCGATTTCATTAAATAAGCCCTTCGAATAATTATATTTCACATGTTCGTTATTAACGCATGTTTCCAAAGAACAACCTCGTTTTTGATATGTCCAGGAAATTAATTAATTTTTGACGAGTGTTGTTAGTTAAATTCGTAATGCATGGTATTATGTTCCAAGAGAGAGAGAAAGATATATATATATATATATATGTACTCTTCGTTAAATTTAATAAAGAGGACGTATATCTCATTGTAAATTTTTGCACCGTACGGTACTAATGAATCGGATGATGGGAGACGAAGAAACTTTGAAAATGCAACGAAAATTGAATCAACGGTATCCTCGTTTCATTTTTGACAATAGATCTGTTGCGGCCAGCGACGAAAGTATTCCTCTGCTTTAATTTTCAAAAACTGCTCTGTGAAAAAGGGAATTCGCAATAACGGTCTGGTAACCCGGTCGCAGGCATCAGGTGCAAGTTACTCGACACAAGAGAGCCGGTTGTAACTCGACTGAATCGGTGATTCGTGTGCATGATCAATGCCGGCGAAGATAAAGAGCGATCGTTTCTCTTGATGGTAGCGGGAAAAACGAGTCGCGCGGGAAAAACACGGCCCGCCGACAGCTGTCATCAGCACCGATGATCTTCTCTGTCGTTCACCTTTCATTTTCAGCCGATTTCTCGTATTTCGAGCACTTTCGACTGATTCGCGGACACGCCGCATTTCCACGCGCGCCTCGAACGTGATTGGAACTGACGTTCCTCGCAACGATAAAATCGAAAAATTGGGTTCATTGTTCTCGGACGGGAGCCATCGTTAGCTGGAATATCATTCGTCACGCGCATGATGGAGCGACAAGAAAAATCGCCGTTGTTTCATTTTCGCGATAGGACACGCGGGTTACAACGGCGAGTGTACGGCTGCGCCGCCGAATGATTAAAAAGTCAAGCATCATCGGACGGCGCATGGTTAACTGACACATTGTAATATATGAAACTAATTTGCCCCCTCCTCCCTCCCCAGGGAGGGGGGGCGGGGCACGAATACCGGCGAACGCTCGCCGGAAAATTGCCCTGCCACGATTATCGGTAAAAAGGTTATTTATTTGAAGCGCGACGATTTTTTGTCGAATCGCGAGCAATCGGCATCCGTTAATTAAAATTCTATTTCGCCCGCGCCGATTCCATTTTCTTGATTTATTGCGCTCGAAACTGTTTTCTTCACTCTCGTTTTCAATGAAAACTTTATCCAAGTCGCCTCTGCGCGACAATTTTGTCTGTGAAGAAAAGCTGTTCATGCTTTTGTCGAACGATGTTATTCGTCGGTTCTGTAAGCATTCATTTTCGTACACTATGCAAAAATATTTCTAAATGCAAGGAATTGTGAGGCGTGTCGGGTAAAGTTCTAATTAAATAAATCAAGGATAGTTGAACTTCGATTTGTACGTTGCAGAACATAAAGTACAATATAGTTAAACGATCGAATTTAGTGGAACAATCGGTTTGTAATAATTCAATTTCTGAACACTTTCAGACACTTGTTGCTTCAAAATAGATATTGTGACACATTTTACCTCGGTTACGTAAAATTCGAGCCTCCAAGGATTACAACAAGTTTTGATAGAATATTTGACAGATTGCATTCTGTGAAACGAAAAATGTAGCAAGTTTTGCAACTTTTTCTCTGTTTTCCGACTAATCCTACAAGATTTGAAAACACGACACAATTGCAGTCGGAAATGTTGATACAGGACTTGCACCGAAAATTAATCCTTTTGCAGATCAGACTCATTTATTTGTAAATAAAATTAACGCCTCGACACATCAAAATTGTCTATCTTTTACTCGATTTTTATATTTTATATCAATTAATATACTTGCTTATAAAATAATACAAATTTCATTACAAATAATTATTTATAAAATGTCATTCAATTTTTAAATTTAATAGGAATTTTAAATACTTGTTTACAAAATAATACAAGATTTCCAAGCAATCAATCTAATTTCGAGCATTAATTGAATTAGTCTCCATAAATCTTGCATAATTATTTATAAAATGTCATTCATTTATTAAATTTAACATGGATTTCATTAGATTAATTTTATTTGCAAATAAAATTAACGCCTCGACGCATCAAAATTGTTTATCTTTTATTGCATTTTTATATTTTATATCAGTTAATATACTTGCTTATAAAATAATACAAATTTCATTACAAATAATTATTTATAAAATGTCATTCAATTTTTAAATTTAATAGGAATTTTAAATACTTGTTTACAAAATAATACAAGATTTCCAAGCAATCAATCTAATTTCGAGCATTAATTGAATTAGTCTCCATAAATCTTGCATAATTATTTATAAAATGTCATTCATTTATTAAATTCAACATGAATTTCATTAGAAACACTTACAAATTATTGACTCTCATTCGCAAAAAGGTGAATTATACTCGAAAATAACGTATGATCTACAAAAGCATTAATTTGAAGTGAGTAGAGATAAATAGGATCTACAAAAGCATCAATTTGTGCTGCAAATACGAATACGATTTGCAAGAAGATCGAGTGCAAAATCCGTAACAAGACCTTTTTCAAGAAAATCTTTGACAGTAAGGCTGTTATACGATATGATACGATTGATTGAGAAATTATGAACGATATGATCGAGAAACTGGATTATCTGCAATTCGCATAATCGAAGTTCCACCATGGTTGACACGATCCGAAAGTGATCCTTACCGGCGAATTTAATCCTCGTCTTTAGTCTGCCGATCGATATAAAATTGTTTCCGCGTACGTTGCGTACAATAAGCAGAATAATTAGTCGTACCTTAGAGTCTTAGCAGTGTGCACGATCGACGTTTCGGCGATGTGGCTCTGCAAATATTGATTCAAATCGCCGTGCTCGCCGTTTTCCGATACGATGCACATGGGGTCGTCTTCGAGGCTGGCACCGAGTAGCCGCGCGACATTCCGATCGGCCAGCCGTGCCAGTCTTTTTGCCTCCTGTTGAAATTCTATCCTGGAAAATACACGGGACATTCGGAAGTAATATCTTTATAGTCGGATGGCCTGTCGACCAGCTTACTATTGAATACGGGCACACGTATATACTCGAAATAATGCGAGTACTTTGTCCCGGGTATTGCATCATTGTTCCACGAGAGCTCGTTCGTCCGTTTCACTGTCTTTCTCCTTCTCTCTTTCACTCTCTCTCCCTGTTCGTTCTCCGAACGAAAATCGCAAGCAGCAAGAGAGGTAGAGAAGAACGAGGGAAAAAAAACGGAAGGATAAGCGAGGAATTGTAGAGGGCTGAAGTTACGTAACGCGCGGCCAACGGATAACAACTACCGAGATTATCGTTTCAAGAACGCTTGTGAGCTTCATGTTTAATAGAGCGCTTCTGTTGTATTTCGCTTGTCTAATATTTATGATCCGGATAAGAGAAAGCCCGATGCTTCCGAGCCACTCCCCCCCCCCGAGGACTGCTTATTTCTGATCCCCACCGTCCGTGAATCGATTGACCCGCGAATGCACCCTGTGCAGTTTTACTTTGTAGGAATCGACGTCAAGTACAGTGACTTCCTGCAGCGAGGAAAGTCAAAATCTCAGTCGAGATACATGGTAACAAGTCAGTACGAAGTGTTCGGGAAAAGAGTTGCCCTCTGACTTGTGCGAAAGTAAGCAAAATTTGAGGGCGTGTGTCCTTTTGTTGGTGAAAAGTGAAATATGTAGGGTCAAGATGCGTAATGGAAATTAGAAGCATCGGAGCAATTGAAGAAATTATTAGAAATAAAAATGTAGATATAAATATAAATATAATTATATATAATAATAATTTATATTATATATAATTATTATTATTTATATTATATAAATATATATAATAATAATTTATATTATATATAATTATTGTTATTTATATTATATAATTATATATAATAATAATATTAATATAATTTTCGAACAATTATTAGATCTTCTGAAAATATCTCAAAAACTATGAAAGATGATAAATGATGAATAATTGTGTTAAATGATATATGCATTTTATGAATTTATATTATATAATTATATATAATAATAATATAAATATAATTTTAGATATTAATATAATATTCGAACAATTATA